AACTCAAAAGTCAGTTTGAAAAGCAAGACATTGTGGTACGATTTATGCATGTTGCCACATCCTTCAACCCAGCTGACGCTGGCACTAGAGGTCTCACAGCAACCGAGATTATTAGCCATGATTGGGTCCGGGGACCGCAATGGCTCAATAACGAGCAGTTGTTGCAAAATTTGAGATTCATGGACGAAATTGAAGTAGACAATTTCGAAGAATCTTTCCAAGAACCAAGTGTAGAAACAGTCGCAATCGAAAAATCAATATTACCTACGGACTCCGTCATTGACCTGTCGCGTTTCTCCAAACTCGACATTGCCCTGAGGACAGTCGTCCGAGTTGCGAAGTACCTCCGCAAGTTGGCAACAGGCGTTGATAAAAGAAAAGGTACCAATATGAGTAGGAAAATGCTCCCTCAATTTGACTCGTGTACACATGTCACAGAGCAGGATATGTCCGCCGCTCGAATACTTCTGATTTCACAGATACATGAAAATTTCGATCTCAACGAACTTCAGAAAAAGTACTGTGACAAACGCCTAATAAGGGATAAAGATGGTGTGATTCGTCACTTATCAAGATTACAACTGGCAAACATCCCTCTTGATTCAAAATCCCCGATGTTCTTACCAAACAGAGGCGAATTTACTAGACTCGTTTTGGAAGATATACATAAGAAGAATTACCATTGCGGAAAAGATCACACGCTTGCGATAGCGCGAGAACGCTTTTGGATACCAAAGCCGTCTGGTGCATTCCGTACTTACTTGAAGAATTGCGCGGTCTGTAAGCGCTGGCAGGGTTTACCATTTGGTGCACCAGCAATGCCTTCATTACCGCAAGATAGAGTGCAGATATCAAAACCATTCCTTAATTGCGGTTGTGACTTTATGGGTCCGTTTTTATCCAAAAATAGAGAAAACACGTACATCTGCTTGTACACGTGTCTCACTACAAGAGCAGTTCACCTCGAAGTTGTTGACAGCCTCTCAACAGGCGCCTTTCTGAGCAGTTTCATACGCTTCATATCAAGAAGAGGTGTTCCGCAACTTATGCGCACCGATTGCGGCACAAATTTCAAGCTCGGGTCACGAGTAATTGAGGAGCTATTCCGTACAGATGAGTACTCTGGCAGCTCAGTAATGTCGTACAGCTCAACCAACGGCGTTAAATGGTTGTTCAACCCGCCAGCTAGCCCATGGATGGGTGGAGCTTGGGAACGGCTGGTCGGTTCCGTCAAAAAGTCCATGCAAAAGTCAATTGGCAGAAAAAGACTCAGTTTTGTAGAGTTTTGTACGGTTACTAGTCAAATAGAAGCTGTCATCAACACTAGACCACTAACATAACTCAGCACATCGTGTTTGGAAGAGATTCCCTTGCGTCCTATTGATTTCCTGCGGGGGAACATCAAGTATTCATTACCGGACACAGCAGGTGCTAATTGCGGCAACGATCTTAGCTATGATCCTGATTTGATACAAACCACAAAGCAAGCCTATGAAGCATTGGAGTACTCTTCTCAAATTGCCAATAAATTTTGGGAACGGTGGAGCTCCGAATATCTAACAGCTTTGAGAGAGATACAAAAAAGTATACTCAAGCAGCCGCGGCATACCGCTAGAGCCAAACCAGAAATCGGTGAAATCGTTTTGATTGAGCAAGAAATGTTACCAAGAGGAAGCTGGTGTTACGGCAAGATCATTGCCCTAGTTGAAAGCGCAGATGGCGGTCTACGATCATTGAAAATTATGATCCCGAATGGGAAAGTAATGCATCGCCCCATGAATAAGGTTTATCCCTTAGAAATTAGAAGTGCGGTGTCACAAGACCAAAACGATTCACTTCCAACACCTCCAGCCTGTGAGCCGCAGCAGGAAACAAAAGAAAGACCTGCGCGTCAATCTAAACTGAGAGCTTTAGAACGCCTGAAAACTTCAGGAGACAGCACTGAAGATGATGATCAGTTCAGCCAAAGTCAGCAACACGGATACTCAAACTTCGCAACTGCAACGCCTGCACCGGCGAGGCTATCTCGCCAAAGTTACAATTTTCCTGCAATTGGTGTACGAACACTCGTTAGAACACTTCTTATTATGTGTACTCTGAGCAACAAGGTCACGAGCCAGCTACACACCAATATCGAATGTGTGAATGGAGCGGTAAAAGTTTGGACACCCGAAACCTCGTTTAAACTATGCTTCGATCATGATTGTCAAGCTTTTATGGCTGACACGCAGAAAACTATCCAGTTTAAGCTGCCTCCATCGCCATACGATGAAAGTGTAAATGTCAGTATGGAATTCTCAATTAGAAATGAATCGATACTGGTTAAGACCTCTTGTACCCCGCCATCGTTCTGTGATTACGCTGGCAGATTGTTGAGTACATCATTGATCGGAAACCCACACTGTTGGCCGGTCGGAGCAATACTGAGCGTTGGAATAATCGTTTACCTGATTATTGCGCTAGCAATGATTACATTTTGGATTGTATGCAGAATGAAACGGTCGGAATGGCGCAAAGCAACACCAGCTACACCAAGACCACAACAGAACGTTTTTACGCTTGATTCGTTTTCACCCATACCAATCAGCGGTCGTCTTATGGCTGTGGCGTGCGTCATGTCTTTGTGCATGATCCAGCCAGCTGCTGCATGCCAGAACGGATACATGCGTCATTCCGTAGATATGGTATGTGGGCCGAAACAGCACTGCTCACAAAAATTCAGGCGTGAAATCTTGTTCAACACATTGCAGAAAGAACAGTGCATCGAAATTCGCCAGCAGGGCGAAGGTGTAGGCTTCATAAAAATCACGATGAAGTCAATGCGACTGGAATGTGTCAAAGTCTCAAAGTATTTCACAAGAGAAACTGAATTACAGATACACTTCTCTAGAAGATGTCCACAGATGGGTTCATGCGTTGAGCAAAAATGCGATCTACTCCAAAGAAACGAGACTGTTCCTGAATTGGAGTCTGTTAGTCATTATCTTGGCTATTCAGGTTGTCAGTATTCTTGCGGAGGACTGTTGTGTGCAGGATGCCTTTTGCCGCTTCCATCATGTACCTTCTACAGAGTATCTCACGTTCCCCGCACCCAAATCGTCTACGAGATCTTAGAATGTGCGGAATGGAAACCCATCCTACATCTGGAAGTTGAAACCAAGTTGAAATCCATTACAACAAGGCAAACACTACAAGTCGATCCTTACATTAGCCAAAGCGTTGATGGAATGAATGTTACAGTCATAGCCCTACAAAAGCCTGTAGATTCAATGATGTCAAACAAGTTCGCTATATCCGACGTTGACTCCTTCATTGTACCGGACACGCACAAAATAGCGGTCGAATGCAAGGACCGAAATGATGCTGTGAACAATTTTCACACGTGCAATGACAATCTAGAATGCGTTTGTTCAGAAGGAGCCAGTTTACCAAATCATTGTAGATGTCCAGATGGAGATATCAGATAGTATACGCAAAAACATACAAGAATTTCGCATCAAGTCAAGTAGTTAAAGAACAGCAATCCAGCATGTTCAACAATTTTTTACGTGATGCGGAAAGGGAGACGGATGCTCTAGCAATCATGATGGATTCCGCGACGATGGAAGAAGACCACGGTGAAGATCGCCTCAGTCCTTATTCTGAAGACTGTACAACTGTGGCCCGCGGAGATGCCATGAATGGCAACATACCAGCAACAGAGGATAATCTGACCCCGCAAGTCACCACAACTGTAGAGCCTCGATCCAAAGATAATGATGTTCTCCGAAGAGACAGAGCTGTAAAGCGACAACCCACAAACAAGAAGATTTCAACTCACGATCCTTACTCTGTATTTTCGTCGCTCACAAATGCTCGACTACGTCATGACCATCTGCGATATTCTGCCTCTCCGCTTACCTGTTCACCATTTCATGCCAGCTGTCACTACATCAACCTGGACTCTGACTTCATTTGCCTAGCTCCTCAAGGACGCCCACTACGGTATCCTGATAAGTATTAGATCTATACATTTGCCTACATTAATTGTGTATGTTTATGTGCTGCTCATTCGCTGTTTCTCATTTACTTCTCCCGCTGGCCGGAGTGTGCCGACTTGTCGGCACCTTTCTTATAACCATATCATTACTCCTGCTAAGCACTGCGAAGGTCATGCCATAAGCATGACCTGCTGTGATATGAGTGTGTTATCGCCCAGATGTTTGTGATACTACATTACCACGCCTTCAATCCTCAGCATTCTACCACTGCACGAATGGGTGCATGTCGTCTGTTCAATAAAGCTCTAACAGCTTACGTGTTCTGATAACACATCAGGAGCCATCATACTCCACTACAGGCGCCACCCATCCGCCTAAGGATACAATAAAGCCTACAGCCACCACAACCTTTATGAGGTCAGAACCATGCAACGCGGGGAAGGGGAGACCGTAATACATGCACAACTAGGATCAAATACAGGCAAGTTTCTAGTTTTACCCACAGATAATTTTAAAAAACAGCTTCTGCAGTTCCAACCGTTGGATTCTGATTTTCAGATATTGTTTGTAGCTCTTGTTTCTCTTTGTAACTCCTGAACTTTTACGCAAATCAGACATTGCTAATGAAAAGGAAGACCTCGAAAACATATAAATAACGATTTTGGCCGTGATTGGTTCATTGACTACTGAACTTCACTTTGGAGCACTTTTGGAAGTCTCAGTTTCAGCATGTGTCTGTTGGGTTCTATAATACAATCGAGTCGAAAAGACGGTCAGAAATAAGGAATTCCCATTTTTTTCTGATATTAGGCGTCAAATCAAATATAAAGTCCGTACTCTGCAGACGTTACGCACTTTTTATTTTTTGACGCCTAAGTCAAAAACGATGTTGGTTTGACTTTTATAATCCTGTGGCAGGAATACTTATACCGCTCATGCGTAAGTTTTATGTACAGCTAACGATCTTGATCTTTGTTGTGGATGTATGTATATACCAGTAAATATCTCTTGACATTCAAGGCAATCCTCGGAATCTAGCTCATCTGATTCTGGAGCTTCGACAGTCTATGTCTATGTCTATGGGTGTCTTGCGCACCGCTTCCTACACTCACACGAAGTTGGCGAATGTTCGTGTCAATGCTTAATTGATCTACACGTACATGTTCTCCTCATTACATGAGTGCTGCGACATCGCCACCTACGCCATGTCCGTCAAGTTTCTTAAACCGTCGGCTGTAGCAATACAGATAATAATGTTCGTTCTGATTTTTGTCGAAAATTATTCAATTTATATGTCCTTTATGCACAAATAATCAAGCATTCTTGCTATCGAATAATCAAGCATTTTTGCTACCCTGTCATTATCTCAGTTTTGGCGTTATATACAGGTATTCGGGTATGCTGCAAGTGCTATATTTACTACTTAGAGTATTTTGACTTCCATTTTTCTTAACGCATTTTTGGTTTTGCAAATGAAGATTGGTTGCTAATTTTGCAGTTTTCCACCTCATCGTTTATAAGATATACACAAGGGATAGGAAAAACACATATAGGTGATGGTGAGATGAACATTTTCTATGCGCGACTAGGGACAGATCTCAATCAAGTTTTGCCGTACTGATGGTAAAGCATCTTGGGAGCAAAGTATAACTGAATTGCGCAATTAGTAAGAATACCAGGGTAGTTGTGGTGAGGTGGATGTATATATTATCTCATGTGTGGCACTGAATTCCATTGAATAAGAAAACTGACTAGCTCCTGCCTGAATGGGTTTTTTTTAAGCGAGTGAGAGAATAAACGCTGTCGGCGCAAACGCAGGGATGGGCAAGGGAGCACTCGGAAGCGACAATACCCGCAAAGAGCAAGCAATGCAAAACTTTTCGCTAGTTTCTTATTGTTAGAAATTTTTATGATGTCAAGTCATGTTTCCGCGCTCTCCCTCCTCCTTCCCCCCCCCTAATTAGCCGCCGTTTTCAACTCTTCTCTGCAAAAAATTCCTACTTCACCTTTCGATTCCTTGAAGGCCTTGTCCCACCCGCCCCGCTAGGACGCCACGCTTAGGTCCGCGCAGCGTTCGTGGCGCTGGCTGCGCGTCGACTGAAGCTTGGCGAAATCCGGGCGATACGCAGCAAACGCCACGCGCGGCCTGAGCGAGGCGGCCGCGTTGGAGGAGCCGCGCAAGCGAAACTTGCGACTCTCAGGTTGAAAAGCCCTGTACATGTTCTCCCCATTACATGAGTGCTGCGACATCGCCACCTACGCCATGTCCGTCAAGTTCTTAAACCGTCGGCTGTAGCAATACAGATAATAATGTTCGTTCTGATTTTTGTCGAAAATTATTCAATTTATATGTCCTTTATGCACAAATAATCAAGCATTCTTGCTACCGAATAATCAAGCATTTTTGCTACCCTGCCATTATCTCAGTTTTGGCGTTATATACAGGTATTCGGGTATGCTGCAAGTGCTATATTTACTACTTATTGTTAGAGTATTTTGACTTCCATTTTTCTTAACGCATTTTTGGTTTTGCAAATGAAGATTGGTTGCTAATTTTGCAGTTTTCCACCTCATCGTTTATAAGATATACACAAGGGATAGGAGAAACACATATAGGTGATGGTGAGATAAACATTTTCTATGGACGCAACTAGGGACAGATTTTATTTATTTATTTATTTATTTATTTATTCACACGCACTTCGGCGTGCTATCAACCGAACAAAACAGCTAACATGAGAATACTTAGGAGAGGCGCAATGAAAATGAAGCAGTAAACACAAAACAGAACAAAAAAAAACCACCGGATATCTTTTGATCAGCAAATCAAGCAATAACATATGAGTGGGACCAGAAATAAGCTGAAAGGACATACTACCGAGTAGTGTACCAATCTCAATCAAGTTTTGCCGTACTGATGGTAAAGCATCTTGGGAGCAAAGTATAACTGAAATGCGCAAATGGTAAGAATCCAGAGTAGTTGTGGTGAGGTGGATGTACATATCTCATGTGTGGCACTGAATTTCATTGAATAAGAAAACTGACTAGCTTGCCTGAGTGGGTTTTTTTATGCGAGTGAGAGAATAAACGCTGTCGGCGCAAACGCAGGGATGGGCAAGGGAGCACTCGGAAGCGACAATACCCGCAAAGAGCAAGCAATGCAAAACTTTTCGCTAGTTTCTTATTGTTAGAAATTTTTATGATGTCAAGTCATGTTTCCGCGCTCTCCCTCCTCCTTCCCCCCCCCCCCCTAATTAGCCGCCGTTTTCAACTCTTCTCTGCAAAAAATTCCTACTTCACCTTTCGATTCCTTTATATGAAACGATATGTGGAGAAAGAATCAGCTGATTTTTGAGACCTAACGTTAACGGCAAAAAACAGCCCTCGAACGCGGGATTGGGTCTTCCAGCTGAGAGCCGCGCCCATTAGCCACTAGAACATGGACGCTGCATTGTACCCTTGCAGTTCAATGTGTTCTAGCTGCCTTTCTTTATCAGATCGTAAATCAAGGATTGATGTGGGGGGCGGGGGCTGCACGAGCTCGCTTTGAATAAGGCGTAGGACAAAAAACATTGGGTGGAGGTTTTGCGTCTCAGTGTTTTTCCCAAATCAAAGGACGGGTGGATGCTCAAATGTCCTTCTCTGCAAAAAATTCATACTGTACCTTACGATTCTTTTATATGAAATGATTAGAGGATCTGTGGAGAAATCAGCTGTTTTTTGGAGCCAACGTTGGTGGCAAGAAGGAATTCCTGAGTGGGGAATCGAACCCAGGTCTGGCAGCTGAGAGCCTCACCCCTTAGCCACTAGACTTTGGAGACTGCATTGTGACATTGTGATTGTGCGGGCCAATTGCTTTTTTTATCAACTTCAAAGAGGGAACGGGGGGGGGGGGTAGGCGGTACGGTAGTCAGGCTGCAACGATTTCCCGGAAAATGGGGGGTATTGGTTTCGATTCTTTGTATATTAGAGGAATCTGTGGAGAAATCAGCTGTTTTTTGGAGCCAACGTTAGTGGCCAAACCATCGCAGTCCTTCATTGGGTGTTGAAGGCATTCTCCACCCTAAGTTGAGGGTCTTGAGCTTTTGGCAGCTTATGATAGTAGGGCCCCCTATCAAGCCACAAGCGCGGCGCAAAATGTCGATTCAGAAGCGAGAAAACTCCGGAATAACGAATATGCACAAGGACAAGACGGCGCCGCCCTCCACATCCATGCCCGCCCATTTTTGCGCGCCCTTCCAATCCGTGTTCCGGAAAGCCGACCTATGCGTTTTCCAGAACGGGGATTGTCGGGGTTTTCGCGGATTCTCGACTTCATATTCTGAATTAGGGACATGAGAATGCCCTGAAACGACAAAAACCTGGAAGTCGAGAATCTGGGTGGACGGTGCCTTTAAAGCAATTGGATTCGGATGAGAGGTGTAAATGTCGACGAATTGATTTCTCAAACTCTGTCTGTGTCTATACGTAGTGCTTAGAAAACTACGGTTTTCCGTAATGCCGCAGAGAAAGATTCAACCGTGATAACGTTTACGACACACAAGGCAGTTGCATCAAAAACGGGGCTTCTATTCCAGACAAGTTGAGAAAATACAAGAAAGCCCTGCGTGGAAGACTTTCTCTGTCCTGATTTTAGCAAGCCTCCTTCGGTACCCTCAAAAAGAGATCAGATGAGGAATAGCTGAAATTAGACAATGTAAAAGTGATGGGTTGAGGCCTACTATTAGGCAGTTGTCTGAGCCATCATCAGAAGAATCATTTCAGAGAAAAGGTTTTAAAAATGGATCTGAAACACTGCGTCGAACACCCATCGAAATCGTTGTCCACCGTTGTCCTATGCATTCGCTGATAGGTTTAGTTAGCGGATGAAAAGTTTTCATTACTCGTATCTCACTTAGCGCATTCTGCCACTGAGTGCAGTCGCGCTGACAATGTCGGGAGCTCAAAAGTTCTCTGAAGGATGTAAACCTTAATATCATCTTGGCGTTTCGATACACTTAACTGATTTTCAAGGAGTTCCCTCTTACCGATAAAGGTGCCATTTAGCGATGAAGTTTATTGGGTACTTTTCCGCTGCCCGGACCCATTTTTTCAAAGGAGGATATTGGTCCTTCTCTTGTACCACATCTGGGTCCCATCACAGGAAGGATTGGCAGCTTTCCATCGCATTCGAAACAAATATTGACATGTTTTCTACAAGTTTAACAGGAGTCCGATTTGTTTTCAGTAATGACCCTTTTTTCATTCAACAATTCCAAGTATTAGTCGGTCTGTTTTCAATGAGCCATTAGGTTCGCCTAGAATAGAAATATGCGCACATTTATATTCTTTCCTAGTGAATTACCATGGTGGAGACACTGGAAAGGAAGTTTTTATATCATTGATGAAAGCGACAAGCTGTCCTGGTAAGTGTTTGGATTATTCTGTTTCTTGTTACAGGTTAGAAGCTCGTAAGTCATCCCAAAAGGTCTTGTAACTTCGAAACGATTTTGAAAAAAAAGCCAAACTGACATGACAGAGAGACAGTCCTTATACAATCTATGAAAATTGATTTTTAGGCTATAGCGCATATCCCATGAGAATTTTTTGAGAAAAGGGGTTCAAGGAAAAATACCCTTTATGCTTGCCTCGAAAATAACGAATTAAAAACCCTAACTTCGACAAAGTACATCCCAGGATAAGCAACTTAATGCTTCATTAGGAAAGTACACTACCCGACTTTCTATATGCTTTATTTCCCTCAGTCATATTTAGTCTAAGGTGCTTAGGAGCCCAAAGTTTGATGACAACACTTCGATCGGAAAAATCTGTTCCTTTTTGGATGATTCTGTTCTCGGCCCTCTGAGGGTCCTCGAAAAAGCGCTTGGAGTGGCTTCGGACTGTCTTTTTGATTTCGATAAAAGATTTTCTTTGAATTTCAATCTGGGCTCACTCGTTATTTAGAAATCCCACACTGGGTCTTCCTGTATGTGGAAATATTCTGGCTCTTTTACATAGGTTTCTTTTGTGTTGGAGCCGCTATTACGATTCCGCGACCATATTCGTTCTACATCAGATTTGCCTGTCGATTTCATAAACATCTATACACAACAAATCCCTGTCGGCGAGAAGTTCAGGAAAGCATTCCTATCACAACGCTTTCGAGCGCTTCAATGCAGCATACACTAAGAATTTACCTCCATGAAATACATTTGCAGTTGGCTGAAATTTTTCGACGCAAACTGGTGAGCGAACTACTGGGGCAAGGTTTGTTTGGGTCCTGTGTTCCATCACTCATAGCATGTGGACATGTGGTTCCGATCTCTATTGGTACCATATGAGTGTGTGAAATCCTACACTGAAGCAAAGCTTCGTACACTACAAATGTGTTTCTCTGCACTGTATAATTATGTAAAGACTTGTTCATTTCAACCCGCACATTCATGCATATTCTGTTCGTTTCACACTTTGTGCGTCTTATAACAGTCGAGAAAGCATCTCTCAACGAAAGAACTACGGGCTAGCACCAAAGTTTGTGCGACTATCTAGCGAAAGACTAACATTCGAATTTACAATAATTATTATAGACCCGCAGCATGAAAGCGGGCGAAGTCTTGATAACGCGGTTTTTGGCAGCCCCGCTAGTGTTAAGATATTAGGTAGATCATCGATTTATCGATCGAGGCATCGTCCACTTTGTGACAAAATATCACATGGTTTTCCTGCAGTTCTTTATATTTCTTGAGCTGAAGATTTTCAAAAGTACATTTCGTTGTTTTTGAATATAAAAAGTAAATTTCTTTGTCCTTGAATATAACGCTTAGTAATCTCAGGATTTTGTGATTAGCGCCCGCTCAACGTGATCATAGTTATGTCAAGACCTCTCATCACAAACTAAGCACCACCAAACATTCAACCAGTCGTTTACCAACAACAATCTGTATCCATTTCTAACTTATAGTTTTTGCTTATATTCAATCTGCCTAGTAGAAGGCTTTACAGGTTCTGTCATTGTTAGCATGTATCAACTAACGTGCTGGAATCAGGGCTTGAGGAGAGATAATACTGTCTCAAAACGATGTCCCCGTTGGCTTGCAAAAAATTTCCACGTGGCTTACAAGGTGTTCTTAGAGAAAAAATTACAAAAGAACACTGGAAGAACACTAAACACGCACAGAAATAATGAAGCTCGTTTTGTATAGGCGATTCATAGTACGCAAAGACCGGATGCAGCGGCGTCTCTGTGATCGTACGCTCTTCTGTTGTTCTTACAATCTGCTGTCTCTTCCTTACACGAACTACCTTAGCCGGACGCAATGTAGCACAGTCTTGGCGTGTCATAGATCGTGTATACTTTGGCAGCATGTTGTTTTTGGCGCGCATTAGGGCGCGGTTGGAGCATAAAAGCGCCCGTTTAGAGTTTTTGGAGTCTGCAATCAAGCAGGGAGGAGGAAACTGGGACGGTTCACTGTTCATTATGGGACTTAGGGTGTAGAATGTCTGATATTACGGTACTCAGCGAGTATAAGCAGTTTTTCTACGCTCCGTACCCCTCCCGGAATTCCCTACGTTACCGCGAAAACGATATTGAGCTTACTCATGTGCCATCCATGGCAAGCCCTGATTCAAGTGTTTTTACGTAATATTACACTCGTGTATGGAGGGTTTCAGCACATTCTCCCTTCTTTCTTCCTATTGTGCGAGCTATTCGTTGATTATCTGATATTTTCAGTTGTTCTTCACAATTCTGTATGAATGCATGCGCTCCATCGCTCTAGTTATATTCCGACTAGTTCGCTCTCTGCCAGAATTGCAAGGAACACGCAATCTTGCAGGGGTAAGTTGAACTAACTTTGTTTTGGATTGAACTCACCTCATCAATCATTCAAGAGGTATGACATCAATCGTGGGGGAGTGATTGCCATGAAAAGATGAAATGTGGGGTGACTGTGCCAGCACCCAAATATGATGTCCCCCTTGCTCGAACATATAGAATAACGTTCATTGATGATGGAACAAGGTGTCACTCGGTTTTTGAAAAGAAGTTGTTAGGGGTGATGGTTGCTGGAACGAATTTATGTATCAATGGCGAAGGATTTCGGGGAAGGGGCGCGACAGAAATTTTTTCAAAAGAAGGCTCCGAAAAAATTCTAGGGATGCTTCTCGAAAGTTTCGCGGGCCTCAACCCCTAAAATCTGGAAAAAGGGGGCGTAGCGTCAGCCACGCCCCCAAATTTTTTTTATAAGGCTAATTTGAGTTTTTAAACATTTTTTAAAATTATTTGAATTGTTTACAAGAAGAAACAAGGCACTTGCACATTTTTATAGCTTCTACGTTTTTTTTTCAACTGACTTCACCATTCTCATTATGGTAGGAAAGCATCTCCTCTCATCAATCTCTGTCACCTTATATAAGTGGATTGCTCTCTCAGCTCTGCGATTACAGTTTGAATACAAGTGTAATGTGAGAAGAGTTAGTCTGTGAAGCAGCTGACCGCCTTTAAACAAATTCAGACGTACGGAACGGTACCGCCAATTATATACGCTAATTTGTGTAGCAAAGCTGCTCATTTTTGGAGTTTGCGCTTCTTTGTTTATGCACCGCGAGGTTAACTGCATAAATGAGTTGCATCTTTGAAATATAGCCACAGCAAGGCCGAATAGAATCGTTTCGAGATGCCACATAGATACCATGGATTTGCTTTGTTTATTGGCCTTCCTTCAACGTCTTCCAAGGCGTTGCAACGCCCCGCATTTTTTACGTAAACAACTGCGACAGCTTGTTATGGAGCACGTATGCATGCCGTCGACAATCGTGAGTAACTTTGGTTGGGCATGTCTTGTTGGAAAGCTTTTTTACTAAATTATAAGGCGTTTACAAAGTCAAATTCTGGAATCCTTTGGGACGCTGTTCGCTCATGATTCGAATATGATATGAACTGCGCTCGAAGCTAGTTCTGCTTCTCTTGAGAGACTGCCCCATGTTACATGCTGTATTTGATTAAATTGTTCGCATAGTATTTACTGTTTTTTCTATATCCTTTAGAGTTTCATAATTCACGAATAACTGATGCTGTCAATACACAAATCTCGCTTAATCCTCTCATGGTGTGATTGTGAAGATTTGTGAACATAAATCTTGCTATCATGGAAGGCGACACTCTTTTCGTACGTCTAGACATTGATAGCATGAAGCGTTTTTCGGGAATGGACTAAAATTGCATTTCTGTGAAGGAAGCACATTATGAAGTGACAAGCAACTAGCGAGAGCGTTCCGAACATATATTGACGGAATTTCATGGCATAGCTATGAGCTGTAGCATGAAATAAACACAGTAGATATACCCTATTTTCAGGTGTATAAGCCGCGGGGTGGTCCTAGCTTACATCGACCAGCCCGAACACATCAATGGATTTCGCATCCAGAAAACCCTACACCGTGCTGCGTATTGCCCGAAAGAATCGTGCGGCATAAGTCGCTTTTTCAAACACAATGAAGCGGCTGAGCAGCTTGGGCGAAAATTCGAAAAAGTGCGGCTTATACACCTAAAAATAGGGTAATTTCTCTCTCAGTGCATAGTAGCAACCGTATAATGTGAAGAACAGATCCTACAGGTCATTGTGAAGCAAAGGGAGTTAAGAGCATCTGCAGGCGCCATTGATCATGTCTGTTCAAATTTCACGATATTACTACCATGTACACTATTTTGTCTATGTAGTTGCTCATGTGTGGTTCCATGAAGCTCATCCATCTCAGAATCAACCACAGCACAACCACTCCACCATTGGAGTTTGAGTTCATGAGAAAACTATGTTTGAGAGTCTATCTCTTGAAATTCACCTAATAAGTATTGGATTGCCATATGATTATGAGCTTTTCGAAAAGATAGTGCGTGATTGTCTGATTATGCCTATTTCTGATTGCATCATTTTATCTGCTCCACACTTTGAACTTTTTCACTAGCCCAAGCTAGTGATTCTTCTGGGAAAGCGCAATACATTATCTATTGTTGGATAAGAAAAAAGTCATTTTTTTCTTGAGTGTTTCGACTGTTATTGCTATTTCCCAAAAATGGAAGCATTCACAAGGCAGAAATTTTATACTCAAATCCCAAACTCCTGTAACGCAAACCTATTTCGGAAACGTAGGCCATAAGTAAGCCGCAGAGTTTGCCATTCTCAGTTGCCCATTTTCTTGATTCCTAGCCACGAAAAAGTAGCAAGTATACATACGTATAAGTACATGTATTCCTATATGCAGGAGCAAATAAAACATTTTGAGGATTTTTGAGGCAAAGATTCGATGTTCGCGACAAATGCTAATGTTCAGAGGTCTATCTTATAGCGTTTGCTTCGCTTTAGCAAATGATACCCCTCATATTTTCGCGGGTTCATCTTGTCGCTTTGCCATGAAAAACAACGTGCTTTACTTTCCAAACTGATATATTTTAGCATGCACCTCTACAAAAAAGAAATTTTTAGTGGTACAGCACTCAGAGAACACATATTTTTGGAGCGAATTAAGTGCGTTGCTTCCAGAATTTTTGTTTCTTCGATATGTGTGATTATGTACGTATGCAATAGCACTTCTCCCCCTGCAATATGAAAGTTTTTTCTTCTTGTCTGTGTCACATTGAAAGTGCAATGAAGACGAAACTAATCGTCCGCACGCATGCTATCCCGTTTTGTTCGGTTTTTTTGAGAAATCTTGCTTGATCACGGTATGTGTCTTTTACTAACAATACATCGCTTCTCAGCAATTTTTGCGGTTGATGTATGTGTGAGGCAGTGGCGGTCCCAAACTTTCGGTTCAGGGGGGGAGGGAGTGAAAAATTTTTTCATAGGAAATGCGTGGCTGGCGCCACGCACTCCGAAAATTTTTTTGGGGTGTTTCTCGAAGTTTTTGCGGGCTCATAACCAGCGCCCAGCACGAGGTGGTATATGAAAATTTTTGAATCGAAGTCCCTCTTGACATTGCAGACAATTACGAGATACCTTTTGTAGTGTCCATAGAAGCTCTAAGAATATGCAACGAAAAAAAGTTAATTGAAAGAAGAAAAGACAAGAATAAATCAAAGTCCAAAAAGCAAATATGAAAAGAAGGCTGTTTTTATACCTTCAAGAGCCATAACAAAGCGTAGGGGACGAAACTTGGGTCAAAGCGAGCACTTATAGATAGAGCGTGATCTAGTGAGTAGACTTATGCGAAACAATTTGGAAATTTATGTGAGAATGGTGGAGATTTGTGAAAATTCTTAATTTTTTTCTGGTCTCGCGCAACCTCAGGGTGCTCCCAGGTTAGGCGCAACCTAAAATCGAAAAACACTTACAATTCCACTCGCTTTCATAATTTTTTCTTAAGTTTTCGTATTTTTCTCTTGATCATCGCCGAGGATAACATCAGATTAGGTGGCTCAACATTGCTTAGTCGCTGTAAACGAAGCGATTGTTTATATTTTTGTGCGTAAAAAGTGCTTTGGAAGCTGAATCGTGTGCACACAAGCTTATGAACTTCGTGTTTGTAACTTGTTAATCTCCTGTAACTGGTAAAATCATGTTGGACCTTTGAATGCGGGCTTGCTAAGAGTTAGAGTTGCTAGAGTTGTGCTTTCTAATATGCTTCCCCCGAAAACGATATCCAGCGTGTGAAAGCGTCACCTCTGCTGAGCCCTGCCCATAACCCCTATTCTAGACAAAGGCGGCGTAAGACTAACTTGAATTTTTAAAAACTTTTTTTGAATTATTTCAATTATTTGCAAGAATAAACAAGCCACTTCGCAATTTTATAACCCATGTAATTAAATTTTAAATTTCGCGACATATTCCCGTGAAAGGGCGGGTTCAAGAAATAGTGAAGGTTGCGGGAACTAGTGAATGCGAGACTCTCGCATTCTCATCTTTTCGCAGAGATTACAAGCGAGGTGTAATCCCATAATCAGAAAATTAGAAGACACGGCAAAAGTCAAGAAAGGTTTATCACACTTTGGGGATCTGAACCAGTTAGCGAGAGTCATGCACGGTTGCAGGGTACTTCAGATCGCTACGCTCCCTAGGACACAACGGCATTGTGACCTTCTCTCCATTTTAGGAACCTAGCCATATCTCCTTGCAGGTGTTCTTAGCACCTCCAAGGAGACCTTTGAGAGACATCATATCTTCATAAGAGAGGACAGCTCCGTCCATCATTCTGAATCGTTTTCTTATTATATGAGGTCTCCAAACTCGCAATTACGAATAACGAGAACTGAAGACGCAATGATTTGCAAAGCCCCCCCCCCCCCCCCCCGAGGCTGTAAAATACTAGATATGAGTTCCCAAATTAGCTGTTTAGTAAAGTTATACTTTCAAAGCCAAAATTACTGGCAGCTCTTCTAACCCAAAACACCCCAAATGTTTGTGTGTAATCACATCGCAGTCATCACAAACGTCGTGACTCACTTTAGACACAGAAATATGAAAGAGCCATTAAAAATCAGCAAATCTTTCTCACTTCTGCTTGGGAAAGGGAACTGGAGAATGCTCGCAAGATACATGCAACTGGCTATCTCTGTTACAGTTTGCTTTGTTCCCTTATGGCTGAGGAGAGCTGAGGCTCAATCATCAAACACAAGAGCGAACCGGGTCAGCGAACCCCAAATTTGAAGCTTACCAAGCAATCATATTTCGACGGATCTCTTTTCGAGTTCTCCTGTAGTTCACTGATTTTGATTTCTTATATTACATTGCTATACAATTCGAAAACTGATTTACTATACAATTAATAAAGTTTTCAGCGAAGTTTGTAATGCTTGATAGATGGTTTTTCGGCCATTATTATTTGTTTAAAATGTTTGCTTTT